TCCAAAGATACACCTTTAACAACCTTTTTCGAATTTCTAAATTAACCGTTCGCGAGCATAGAAGTGACTTCTTTTTATTAAAGGCGACACGACCCTGCGCTATCCTCTGCTTTATATCCCTACTACTCCTTCCATCCTCACTTATCTGACTTCCTAGGTACCTAAAATCAGCCACTTCTTCTAATTTTTCGTCTCCTATCTTTATATTCGCTCTTTCCCTACTTTTTCTACCCTTGCATATCAGTATTTTAGTTAGGGTTGAACATTGGGGGATGATAAATAACTATTTGAAGAGATTACTCGTCATTTCCGTCTGATCGTTATCACTGTATAGGCGACAGTTCAAGCGTAGTTTTTTTCAAATTTGTTATCTTTTTAGTTTAAGTTTATGGAGAAATCAGTTTTTATACGTTGGTACATTTAAACTACATAATGTGTGCTTTAATGAATGTATTTATGTATATGCAACTAAATAAACATCAGACAATAACTTAAGGGTTATCATATGTCATACAACCAACTACACTCCAGAAAATAGAGATTTAGAGATAGTTGCTTTTTCTCAACTGTTTTCTTCCCCCTTGAATAACGCCTCGAAATTGGTGGTTTTTAATTCTGATTCGATATCGAAAGTGTGCCTAAGCATTCTTTCCGACTTTTAAATATTTTTTTTTTGTATAACTGCTAATAATATTTAATTAAAAAAATGTACTGAACATGCTCTCTATTTGTTGCAGGTGGAAATGCTCTATCAGCGATATTTTTTGAAAATGAATCAAAGCAATATGACGAATCTGATATCACTGCTACTAGTATTTTGCACAGGACTATTCATACTAGTAGGGGTGGACTTTATTTTGGAACAATATTCAGATAGTTTATCTCAAGATAGAAACAACAAATTGCTGGGACTCATATCGACGGCGGGGGGCTGCTTAATACTTTACGGGGGTAAGTTTTTTAACGAGTCATCATCTTAGGGGTCGTCAGTACGCGTCCCAAGTTCTTTTAACCCTTCCTTTTTCCGCGGCAACCACCGTCCATGTTTCGCAATATGTAAAAAACGAACGACATAACATTTAACGAGTTTGATAAATTTGATGAGTGAAAATGGGACATACAATTACATTCTGACCTTGTGTTTTTGATATCTTAATGTATGTATATGTTAGGCCCGAAGACCGAAAACGCTCAGTGGCCGGAAAAAACGGCCACATCGCGTTCTGGCTGCCTTCGAACGCACAGAACGCGTTTTGGCTGTTTTTAAACGCTCGCAACGCGTTCTGGTAACTGTTAAACAGCCGGAACGCGTTTTGTCAATTGTTGAACGCTCACAACGCGTTCTTAATGTTCGACTTGTATTATTTGCCGCTTTCTACCTGCGTACAATGAGATTTATATTGT